GATCGCTTCCTTCATGGTAATACACGCATTCATCATAATCTTGATCTGAGTCCCAGGTAAGATCCAGATCCGATGTGCCTGGTTGATCTTCCACAACAGGTGATGGATCCATGTCCGTTTTTTGCGACATAGACGTGGTGCACTTCTCGTTCACTGGATCACCAGTCGCATGTCCTGTCCCGGGCAGTACACTCATCATTGATGGCAGATCCGGCCCACCGCGTTCCGACGGCAAGGTTCCTTGATCTTGCGCCATCGGATGTAGTTGATCCAGGCTGACGCCCTCAATTTCACCTCGGCTATCTTCTTCACGCAGTCCTTCCATGTCCGTGGTTTTCTCCACCAGCGATTGGGTCGCCCATGTGTCCGGTGTCACCTGATCGCGATCTGGCGCCTCCATGACCATTACGGCATGCGATATAGAGCCTTCGTCTGCGATAGACGATAGATCCGACTCTTCGCTCGCGACAGGCGCTAGATCCAACGGTTGCATCTCCGACGGCGACTTGTCCGACGGCGATTTGTCCGGCTGCGACCCGTCGGAGGGTGGGCAGTCAGGAATATCTTGATCTTGACTCGCCTCGACTTTCTGGCGCTGATCAACGTTGCCTTTTGGTCTTTGGAGTATTGCGCGCGGAGTTTCATACTCGGGCCGCTTCACCGCGGGCACCAGCGGGTTCTTGCCCTCTATTTCTTCAGATCGGGTATCTGTCGTGGCTTCCAACGCTAGATTCTGCCATTCCATGTAACGACGAGAGTCGATCGAGATAAAACCTGGTATCCGCGGCACATGATCCCCAGCCAACCAGATCCCGATCCGTTGGTCTTGATGCAGGATCAACACCTCGTCCCCAATATTGGTGATCGAGATGTATTTCGTCCGCCCGCCCTGGTCCATTGGATATTGTCGGCACCCATTGATCTCCATGCCTGACCCACAGCTTGTGGTGGATCGACGACCGCAGGCGCAATGGTAGTTCCACCGACTCCCCTGCTTGGATCCGAAGATATTGGCCGACGTTGACGATCTCCGCTTTGTC